GGAGAATTTGGTGGAATGAAGATTGGCAAGGGAAACCGAAGTACTCGGAGAAAACCCGCCCCAGCGCCACATTCTACACCACAAATCCCACTTAACCAGACCCGGGATCGAACCCGGACCGCCGCCGTGTGAAGCCAGCGACTAAATGCTTGAGCTATGGTGCGCCCTTTTTACAGAGTAACTAATTTCATGGAGCTGAGCCCTTCTTGAGAAGCCGCCAGTTGTTCCGAAACTGAAGAACTTCCCAACATTTTATGAAACCCGAAGGTTCACTACCGTGTTCACAAAAGCCCTCCATTGGACCCTAAACTGAGCGAGATCACTCCACCCCATCCTATCTATCTCAGATCCATTTTAATATTATCCACCTACCTACGTCTTGGTCTGTATAGCGGTCTTTCTTTCTGGATTTCCGCCAGTATCCTACATGCATTCATCTTCTCCATTCGTGCTACATGCCCTGCACATCTTATTCTCTTTGACTCGATCATTCTAATTATATTTTGCAAAGCCTACAAGTACGGATTAAATATCAAAATTGTTAATTTGCCTGTTGTTGTGTATGGGTTAACTTCGTCACTTTCGTTACCAAGAAGACATAAGCTTTAAAAATGGTCCTTGGGAACAGTGTATAGAGCAAAGCAGAAAGAGGAGACAAAAGATAAATGCATAATGATCCTCACCAGATAGGATTGGCGTGATCAAATCAGGGTACATGAGATGGGCGGAACCTGTAGCACTCAAAGAAGAGATGAGAAACACGTAAAATTCTTTTCGGAAGACTTCGTACAAATGAACTAGCTAGAGCAATGATATCGAAATCGATCTTAAAGAAAATCGTGAGAATATACTTGATTGGACTTATGTGGCACTGAATATTGAGAAGTGGCGGGCATTTGTTAATATGGTAATGACCATTCCGTTTTCGTAAGACACTCGGAACTTTTCTGAGTATCTGAGGGATCATTGGATCGCCTCTGTGGTCTAGTGGTCGGAGTTCCTGGCTACAGATCCAGAGGTCCAGGGTTCGATTCCCGGCGCTACCACATTTTCTGAGAAGTAGTTGGTCTGGAACGTGGTCCACTCAGCCTTCTGAGGATAATTGAGGAGCTATTTCAAGGAAACAGCGGCTCCGGTCTAGAAAACCGAAATTAACAACGGCCGTGGGAATTCGTTGCGGTGACCAAGCGACACCCTCTATCCGCTAAAGTTTGCACTAACTTCGCCGACAAGCAGCGGTCGCTCGGTCTGTACAGTTCGCTTGTAGACTAAAGACACGGAGTTTGATTGTAGCTGAGGGACCATTGGGCTCCTTTTCAAAGAGCAATTGTGGCGCCTCTTAGTGAAACATTGATTTCAATGGAACACACCCACACAACCAAGTTGTGCCACCCCAAAAGTGGAGTTATGTAAAAGCTAAATGACAAGAAGTCTGGGATTCTTCTCCATGAGTTACACCAACACGTGTTTTCACGTGTGTTCCAGTTTGCTGTGGGCCGCGGTCACTGTGCTGGCGAGTGTGGGCGCCATGTTTGTGGTTCTACGCAGCTGGGAGCACTATGTCGCCAACCCCACAGTGCTATCCCTCGAGAAAGATTACCGACAGTGGTCCACCCTCTTTCCTGCCGTCACCATTTGCTTCCTGCAGAACCTCAACCACACCAGAGCAAGGCAGGAAATCCACAAGTATGATCCTTCGCTATGTAGTGTCCTCCAACGAAGAGAGCACCATGACTGGCATTTCATTTAGGATAATCAAACTGGATCGGCCATTTTAGAGAGAAACAGAGACATGTAATATTTGAGGTTTTCACGGCGGTGACTATGAAGAAAGCAGTCTTCTTGGATGTGGCACCGTGTAGATGTGGTGTTAAGCGGCGGTTTGGAGGAACAGATGGCGCACACCTTCACCGGA